GTGGTTTCTTTTTTCATTTGTTCTCCAGGAATCTCTCACAAATTCTTAAAGAGAATCCTGTTTTTATGATTAGACTATTGATTAAACAGTAATTTTTTTTGGCTAAAGGATTTTGATGGCTAATGATTGACAGGCATTTTTATAAAAGTAAATGTAGACAACTAATTACTGACTTTGTAAGTCAATGTCCTGAACATACATGAAGTGCATAATACTTATTTGCTTTACCAGTGTCCTTATTTCTAAATGGATTGACCACACTAGAAATTAAATTTTTTTAAATTATTTAACTTCTTTACTATGTTGAAATTATAAATTTGAAAATTGAGATGAATGTTTAGATTTTTGGAGTCTGTCACTAATTCTTCAGAAATTCCAGTCTAGTATAATAGTACGTGCCATTATACATCTGTTTTTAATCTTGGTGATTGATTTGCATCTGAAAAGGTAGCATCTTTCTAGAGCTTATTTTATAATATCAACTTCTGCATACATAAAAACACAAATCTACTAATGGATTAACAATATTTGTTTCTTTCCATAATTATTTTATTTCCTCTCTTACTTAGCAAGCAGAATAGCTGGTACCATCTGTATTTACTAGGAATTAAGGTTTGGTGTCCTTAACTAACTTGGACCCAAAAGCAGGAGTCCATGCACTGAAAGGTGTAAGCAATTAAAGCACTACCAAGGAAAGTGTTTTTCTACCACCAGAGAGAGGGCATTTACTCTCAGACCTTGAAAGTTATAATCATTTATGGTCATCAGGGGAAGCAGAGTTTTTCACACCCTAGGCACAAAACTGAAAGTGTCTAACTGTTTCATTCTCTTCTCACATACTGAGCTCTGGGTGATTTTGTTAAAGGAAGCATTAAACAACCTGTCAGCACTTACACATTGGATTAGGAACTCTTATCATGTGGAGGGGCTCTGGCTAGTTCAGAAAGACATTATTGGGAACCTAGAGGTGCGAAGATAAATGTAACTTAACATTTTTTGGCTCCAGGAATCAACTATAGCTCTTTTCCTTAGCGTTTTCTATTGCAAAACTGTTGTTTCTAATTTTCTGAGCACGAACAGCCCACTGTGCTTAAATAGCTCTTAATCAGAACACAATGATTAGATAGTTAGAGCCTGCATGAGACTTAGATATTAGGAGGAGTTGCATTGCCCAGAAACAGGTTCACAAGACTGAATTTCCTATCTTTATTTTTTCTGATTCATCCTATGATTTCTTTTTAAGTATTATCATCCAGATATATTTATAGTTTGCATCATTCACCTGGTATATAGCAATATAAGTGTATGTCTCACACACATAATCTAGCACACACACATACACACATAGTTACTGTGATACTGTAACAGTATAAGAAAAGAATAAAAAAATCAGTGAGGGGCTGACATGAAATCTTTCAACTACAGCATATTTAACAAGGAGGGAAAACCTGCTTAGCTGGCTGCCTTTTTAATTTCAAGGTAACTTTATTGGTCTGCATGCTGAATGTTTCTCCAAATTTGATTACAACAAATGTCCAGCTGCCTTACAACACAGAATGAATATTAAGTTTTTTAGTGAGATAATCCTTTAGTAAAGGCCAATCTTTCAGACAAGGTTTTAGGAGAAAAAGTCTTTAGAAATATAGTCAATTATTATCATCATCTCTCTGAAATTTCAAAACTCTGTCCTCCCCTACATAACAACCTCTCTGTCTTATTAAAAAGCTTCTAGAAAAAGTAACCTAAAACCACTCTGTTGCTTCTTCAGGTGATTGTATTCTTCCTCATAATATTACAATTTTATTTTTGTTAAAACTCTTCTCCCGAAACTGGGGGGTGACCTTTTGTAGCACTGGTTTTCAACAGATGCTTCTTTTGAAAACTTTTTCCATCTTTGGTTTTTGTAACAGCATCATTTTTTTTCCTTTGTCTACTGCCAAACTCCCTATTCCTTAACTACTTTGGTGTATACCTCTTCCTTAGCCTAGTTCTTGATTGCTGATTCCCAATTCTCAGCCCTCTTTTATCTTAATTTTCAAAATCAATTTAATCGGTTATTATGGCTTATACTATCTACTATACAGACTCTCACAGTCATATGTTCATGATCTTTTGTGAACCGAAGGCCAATATTTCAAATGACTCTTGCGTCACAACATTCCGCTAATAGGAATGATGTTCAACAGGAACACACAATGGACTGGTGGATTAGTGGTGATGACAAGACAGTTGTTAAATATTTGAAAATAATTTCTGCCCAAAAGCAACTGTATTAGTCTGTTCTCACATTGCTAATAAAGACATGCCCGAGACTGGGTAATTTACAAAGCAAAGAGGTTTAATTGACTCAGAGTTCCACATGGCTAGCAAGGCCTAATCATGGTGGAAGGCAAATGAGGAGGAAAGCCACATCCTACATGGCATCAGGCAAGAGCTTGTGCAGGGGAATTCCCATTTATAAAACTATCAGATCTCCTGAGATGTCTTCACTACTACGAGAACAGTATCTGGGAAACTACCCTCATAATTCCATTATCTCCACCTGGCCCCACACTTGACACATGGAGATTATTACAACTCAAGGTGATATTTACAAAGGGAGACAGCCAAATCATATCAGCAACTCAAATGCAATGATAAAAGTTAAAAGTGCCATTTTTCCCTATAAATAATCCTATATTCATTCCCCATTTTAAGAATGGCTCTATAAATTCTATGTTTACATAAGCTAACCTGGTCATTAAAATTCCAAATTTTCTATTTTTTTTTTTTTTTTACCAATTATTATTATTTTTTGAGATGGAGTCTTGCTTTCACCAGGGTGGAGTGCAGTGGCATCATCTTGGCTCACTGCAATCTCTGACTCCCCATTTCAAGCGACTCTCCTACCTCAGCCTCCTGAGTAGCTGGGACTACAGGTGCACACCACCACATCTGGCTAATTTTTGTATTTTAGTAGAAATGGGGATTCACCATGGCCAGGATGGTCTCGATATCCTGACCTCATGATCTGCCCACCTCAGCCTCCCAAAGTGCTGGGATTACAGGTGTGAGCCACTGCAACTGGCCTTACCAATAATTATTTTTAAGTTCAATAGCATTCATAGTTATTCTCTCACCCTTATTGCTGCAATACCTTTTTTTTTGTTGTTAATTATTCTGAATAAACCTGACTTTGCCATTTCTTACCCTGTAGTGCTAAGTCCTCCAGTGTACACTTCAGTTGCTATCAGAGTGAACATAGCAAAATGATAGTTCCTACTCAAACTTCTTAAATGGCTCCCCCATTTAAGAAGTATATAATGTATAGTATATATGTATATGACTCCTGTATGTAAATACATGCTATTTTGCATTTTACATGGGATTCATTATTATCTGGCTCCCACTCACCTATCCAAAATCAAGTCTTCTTCATGCTCACTTTATATAAAATTCCATGTCTCCATAATAATAAATCAAGTCTACTCCAACCTCCCCCTCCCCAGGCCCTTCCATTACCTAAGCCTGTGTGTGTGTAATACTGCCTCTGTCTCCAATGACAGCCTACATATTATTTACCAGGCAGACACTTGATCTTTCTCCAAATTGCTGTCTAATTACAAACTCCTGTACTTCTTCAGGGAAGCCAAAAGATATCTTTTTCTATTTTCCTATATTGCTTCGTCATCTTGTTTATATTTATAATAAAGTAAATGCTCAGCCATATTTATACTCAAGAGTAGCTAAGTCTTAAGAAGTTACGTTCGATTAATGTATATTCAATTAAATTGAGTTCTATATTAAAATTTATCTTTTATTTGGAAAAATAGTTATAAAATAGGACAAATGTAAATTATTAAAGGTTATATTTATGTTTCATCCATCATTTGACTGAGACCTCTATTTAAAAGCTGTTCATTGAGCTCCAACTATGTGACAGGAACTGTCCTTGCCTTGGTGTATAAAAAAGTAAACAAAACATATTTTGTACTATTATGGAGCTTATAGATGGTTTCAGCTATGAAAAACTCAATGAAACAAATGAATTTTATAGAAAAAGTTACAAACAACTGTTTAATGATCAACAACTGTACTGCTAATGGAGTAAATCTGAATCTGAATCTCTGTTTGCTTACAGATACAGAATTCTCTTATTTCATTAAAGGCATAGTTGTCACGTCAAATATGCTTATGAATTTTGTTTTTATGTATTGTTTTATTTTATCTTGTATACTATGGAGTCATGATATTTGTAGTAAGTAGATGTATGTGTACCAATTTACATTATTTGTGGGACTTTGAAACAATTGCATTTTATATTTCCACTAATGTAAAAATAGTATGTTCAAATAGGTAAAACACATGGTAAATATAATAAAGGAAAAGACTAATAAATGTAATAAGCTACTGGTATACTTAACAAACAACCTTAAATTTTTAAAGCAATTCACTGCAGAAACATAAAATGGAACCAAATAGCAGCATTTAAGTCAGCTTTCAAGCTATTTTCCTGAAATATAGCTTAATAATGAAAACAATAAGCTAATTATCTAAATGGAAATTTAGAGTGGGCTGGCATGTGCGCAAAAGACTGTAATAAACATTCTCACATTTTAGTAAGCTCATATGAAACAGAGACTTGGAATGGTCTTCCAATTTCATTTCTCAAACTATATTTGTGGTGTGTTATTAAGACAACCCATTCAAATATCCAGTGAAAATCACTCTCTTAGTGGTGTACAAAAGCTCACATGCTAAATATTATTAAGAAATGTAATACACATACTATGGCCATAAGATGGGAAAACGGACTAACACTGGAGCTATTTTTTAACAAGAACAGTAAACTTATATTATACTTTGGTATGACAAATAAAGTATATATTAGACGTTAGTAGAATCACTCAAAACCTTTTTTGAAACAATGCAGATGGCTGCACTACCCAGAAAACTTTTCTAAAGTTTTTTTCATTTTTCAATATGACATAATTAATATTTTTAAACATCTATAGACATACCTGGATTTTCCCACGAAGATCTGGAAATCCACCAATAAAGACAGATCCTGATTTTGGCAGGGGTTTTCCAAGTACATGATTGATAGATTCGCTTGTTTGTGTATTTCTCCCTAGAATAGTCAGTTCAGCTTTACATGGATCCAACTCTTGCCTGTAACCATTTAAGAAAGAAATTTATGGTTTTAGTATGAGTTACATAAACATTTGTCTGACCAATTAATTAAGCTATTGTCAAAAGTAGAATTTAAGTAAATAGATTATCTTACAATAAAACAAAGTCAGAAGTAGATCGATCTGTTCTAAATTAGAAATCCCTAATGCTTTAAGCATATAAATACAAAGTTAGTCTGACAATACAACAAATTATAGCAATCAACTAATGAAATAAATAAATCCTGACATTAAACAGATCTTTCCAAATTGTAACTGAAACATTGACTGATTACAATATTCCATTTCAGCTTTTTACATTGTTAAATTTCCTATGTGAGTGAAAAATACTAAAAATAATCAAATTTAAATGTAGTCATACAGGGTACAATATATCCTTAGGTAGAAAACGGTAATTTTTTCCACCTAAAGATATATTGTACACTGTATCACTGTATGATATACTGCAGATAGTAGTTAGTGGTAGAAACATAAATTATATGAATAAGTGCAGAAAAATTAAAAATGAACAAATCAGCCGGGCATGGTGGCTCACGCCTGTAATCCCAGCACTTTGGGGAGCTGAGGCAGGCAGATAACAAGGTCAAGAGATCGAGACCATCCAGGCCAACATGGCGAAACCCCGCCTCTACTGAAAAATACAAAAAATTAGCTGGGCGTGGTGGCGCGCACTTGTACATCCAGCTACTCGGAAGGCTGAGGCGGAAGAATTGCTCGAACCAGGGAGGCAGAGGTTGCAGTGGGTCGACATGGCGCCACTGCAATCCAGCCTGGCTCCTGGTGACAGAGTGAGATTCTGTCTCAAAAAAAAAAAAAAGAGAACAAATCAAATATAACTTAATGAAGAAGCTCCGAGTAATAACTTCCATACGCCCATTCTTTTAAAAAGGTGAAAAAGACAAAATACTTCATCAATACTTTAACATGTAGATATGCATGTGCCATTTACTCTAGCCATACGTTTAACTAATCATTTAATCCAGAGACTGACAAACTACACCCTAGGGCAAATCTTGTCTTCCATCTCTTAGTAAATAAAATTTAGTTGGAACACAGTCACATGTTTCTTTACCTATAGTCTACGGGTTTTTTTAATAACAGAATTGAATAACTGAAACAAGACTTTAAGTCCCAAAAGGCCAAAAATATTTACTATTTAACCCTTATAGAAAAAGGTGGTAAATCCACTATCTGTTCAATTAATCTACTTACCAAACAAGTAATCTTTATGATAATCCTTTTCAAAATAATACTACACATACTATACTATAAAAGGCATCTACACAGCAATGTCATTCTGTATCAATGTCATTCTGTTCCAAGAATATGTGACATTCTGGTTTTCATATATTTATATTGAATTATGGCATACATAATAAGGAGAGTAAAGGATAAAGCTCTATGAAATATTATATTGTGAACATATTGGAGTACCCACTACCTAGTCCAAATGGCACAAAATTACTATCTAGACCATGCCTCTCCAATACACATGCATGCATACAACACATTCTCTCTCAACTCTTCTGTCTTCATTCAACATAATGTTATATATATATATATATATATGTATATATATATATAATATATTTGAATTCATTAGCTTATTCATTTTCAATGTATCTAAACAGATATTTTATAATTTATTCTAATGTTGGTATACTGTGAATGTTTAAAATTTTTGAGCTATGAATAGTGTTGCTATAGACATGCTTGCATGTATTGTTTGGTGTGCAGAAATAAATGTGCATTTCCATTGAACATTTACCAAAAAAAAAAATTTAGAGTTCTATGTTTAGGATATATGCTCTACTGGTTATATATTTTGTAAGGATTTTATTTTTCCTTTTGATGTCTTACAGTTTTACTTTCTCTTTTTTTTTTTAATAATCAGAAGTTTTTTATCTTAATTTATGCCAACTGATCAATCTTTTACTTAATAATTACTATTTTGTTGTTGTTCCTACCTAATCCATTTTTGAAAATGTATTTTACAATTGACATTTAGATCTACAATCCATCTGAGATTGGTTTTTATATAGCCCCAAGTATGTATCAATTTTTATTTTTTCTTTATGGAAATCCAATTGACTCAGTAACATGAGTGGAAGAAAACTATCCATTCTCCACTGTTCTACAATATCGCTGTCATAAATCATGCCCATATATATGTAGGTCTATTTGTAGACTCACTCTCTTTTCTGTTCCACTGGTCAATTTTTCTGTCTCTGTACCAATATATCACTGTCTTAAGACTTACTCTAAAAATACAGTACTTAGTACCCAGTAGAGTAAGTTCTTCATTTATCCCCTTTACATTGTTTTGGCTGTAACGTGTGTGTGTGTGTGTGTGTGTGTGTGTGTGTGTGTGTGTGTTCCTGAGTTCTCTTTTATTGGTTCATATTTCTACCTTTGTGTCAATAATACACTGCCTGATACTGATACTGCCTAATGCTAATGTTTTGTAAGTCTAGATATTTTGTATAGTAAATTATCTTACTTTGCTCAGTTTCTTGAGATAATTAAATATCCTTTTTTTTCTTTTTCTCTTACTTGGGATGAATTATGTTTGCTGTTTTTCAAAAGTTAGATGTATGCTTGGAGTAAGTTTAACTTGGTTATGATATATGCCTTTCTTATATAACATTGGATTTACTTTTCCATATATTAAGGAATTTTTACATACATGTTAATAAAGTATAGGCCTTTCAATTTCAATTTTTGTACTGCCCTGGTACAATTTTAGTATCAAGGTTATGCTGTCCTCACATTTTTTCAGGAAGTTGGTGTTACACTGATGTTATATCTACCTCTTATGTATGATAGAATTCACTGGTATAGCCTACTGAGCCTGAAATTTTCTTTGTTTTACTTTGTGGAGATGATCAATATAAATTACATATATTTATTTGATGTAAATTATCTATGTATTAATATGTCTATTTTGTCACATTGTATTTTTGTCTAGGAATTTTTCATTTAATCTAAAATTTCAAAATTATTGGCAAAAAGTGTTACATAATTTCCTTTTTTTAGATTGTTATTGGTTTTGGAACTCTGATGTCTGCCTTTTTTTTGGTATGATAATTGTGTCGTTTCTAATTTTTTTTTTTTTTTGTAAATCAATTTTGGTAGAAAGCATAAAAATTCAAGGAACACAGTTTTGGTACTGTCAAGAGTCTCTATTCTGTTTTTTACTTTATTATCTTCTGCTTTTATCTTTGTGATTTCCTTTCTTTAATTTTCTGCATGCTTAATTTAATCTTTTGTTTCTAAGGTTTCTATTCTAACATATGCTTTCAGGATAGAAAACTTTTTTCTAAACACACATTTAACTGTATTCAACAAGTTCTATTTTTCATTAGTATGTGTTCAAATTTTTTTCTAATTTCCTGTGTGATTTTTTTTCTTTTGCCTCAATGCTATTTAGAATTGCATTGTCAAATTTACAAATATACAGGTATTTTCTTGTAATTTTTTAAATAATTTTAGCTCAAATCGAGATTGTTCAGAAATTATCCTTTAATTTTTAATAATTTTATAGGCATTTAATAATAGATATTCAAGGGAGATGCCAGAAAAGGCCAAGTAATTACTGAACACCATAGAGATGTGGCCGACCTACAACTGATATTATTCGAATGGTTACCACATTATTACACAGCAAGTTTTTTTTTTTGTTTTTTTTTTTTGGTGGGGTGAAGGCGGTAGACAGGGTCTGGCTCTGTCGCCAGGCTGGAGTGCAGTGGTGCGATCTCGGCTCACTGCAACCTCTGCCTCCAGGGTTCAAGGGATTCACCTGCCTCAGCCTCCCAAGTAGCTGAGACTACAGGGGTGCACCACCACATCCAGATAATTTTTTTATTTTTAGTAGAGACAAGGTTTGACCATGTTGGCCAGGATGGTCTTGATCTCTTGACTTTATGATCCACCCTCCTCAGCCTCCCAAAGTGCTGGGAATATAGGCATGAGCCACTGTGCCTGGCCTACACAGCAAGTTTTAAACTTGAACATGTGTTAGCAAAGATGGAAGGAGATGGATTAAAATGGATTAAATAGATCAAACCTGTAAATGATTCTCTTTCAGTAAGAAAATATTTGCTTTTAATTGTTTGAAATACGTTGACTCAGGCTGCATAGCCCAGCATATTGTCAATTTTGATAACATTTACATGACACTGGAAAGTCTGCTGTTGGGTGACGTGTTCTTGATATGTGAATATGGTCAGGATTTACATACGCACGTGCATCACAAATATACACACGCAAACACATTTATCCAGGTTTATAATAAATGTAGAATGTAATAAAACAGTGAAATCATGTTTATCATGTATGTACTTTTTTCTTCTTAAGAAAATATTATGCAGCCATCAAAAATGATGAGTTCGTATCCTTTGTAGGGACATGGATGAACCTGGAAACCATCATTCTCAGCAAACTGACACAAGAGCAGAAAATCAAACACTGCAAGTTCTCACTCATAGGCAGGTGTTGAACAATGAGAACACATGGATGCAGGGAGGGGAGCACTACACATTGAGGTCTGTTGGGGGTAAATGGGGGAGGGACGGGGGGGTGGGGAGGTGGGTAGAGATAGCATGGGGAGAAATGCCAGATATAAGTGAAGGGGAGGAAGGCAGCAAATCACACTGCCATGTGTGTACCTATGCAACAATCTTGCATGTTCTTCACATGTACCCCAAAACCTAAAATGCAATAAAAAATAAAAAATAAATAAAAAATAAATAAAATGTTTACAGATATTCTTTGCATCCTATATATATCATGATATGAACCTCATAGACCTAAGACCAGTTATGGTCATACAGCCAACCTTGTGGCTTTGATAAAGAAAGCTTTCACAATTTTTTAAAAATATCAATGATATTCCCTATGTTAAAAATATGGAAGAAAATGTGTTCAACATTTTTAGAAACTACTAGATATTCTTGGATTCTGTATTTAGAAGCAAACTAG